TCCAAAGAATTTATATTCTTTGGATATAAATCCAAAGAAATGTGTCACATGTCCCAAGTTTGTCTGCATTTGGGAGTTTTCTGTCATCTGTTTTATGTGCAACACACTTATTCAAACAAGCTGTGCTCCATACTGTGCCTCTGTTTGTTCTGTTTTGCTGGCCTGATTTTAGAAAGAAATTGATGACTAGAATCATGATTTGTGATAAACCAGAGGCAGCTCAAATTGAGGTTGCTCTTGACTGATTTATGATTAAACTGCTTCATTAAATTGGCTCCTTTTACAATAAAAACACAGTTTCAATGTTGTTTTTACCCTAAAATTTACCAATTAGTTTAGTTTGCATTTGACAAGATGATTGGTTTCACACCTGTTCTTATTTCTGATGACAATATTGGTGTAAGAATAATGAAGTTAGTTTTTAACTTGTCTTTTTTGGGGTGCGGGGGGTTTGGCACTCATTCATTCTTCTATATTTGGTCTGTATAAACAGATGTGCAGAGTTTCCTCTACTTGTCAGTTGGTAAAGCTCTTAAATCCCTGAAAAAATATAAAATCCTTAAACATTAGTGAACTCTAGGATTTTCAGGTAAGCAGTGAAGAGACGTTCAACTCCTAATTCTCTCAGAAAATGCTTAGACTGCAGTGCAGATTAATCTTGTCCTGCCTTGGCAGCTTCGTCCTGCAGGGGCATAAAAACAGAAGCTCTGAGGGTGCCTTGGCTCAATAACAAAAGGAGATGATCCTCTTTGCCCTCAGGGTTGCTAGGAAGACTGTATGGAGCAGGCTTATTCAAGGACAATGCATTGATGCTCAATTGTGTTGGGATATGGGGAGTTTGGAGACTTTGTCAATAACCAACTCTGTCTTTGTGCTGCTTTTTATTGATTTTTATGAAAATTATGTTTTATTTTTTTTAATTTGCAAACAAAATTGCTTTTCTATAATCTCAATATATTTCAATTATATTTTTGTGTAATCTTCTTTTTTTCATTGAAAAAAAATCACATTAAGTACTTTATAACAAGTGTCTTTTTAGGTGTTAACTGGATGAAGCCCCAATTGACAATGGGGTTTTATTATTATGTATTATTAATTATATTGCCTGGTTTGTAAAATTTGGCAAATTGGGTAAATTAATGTCATCTTGTGATCTTGGCATCAGATTTCATTCCCTACTTATGCTAAACAAAAGGTAACTGCTTATCAAAATACTTGTTGCAAAAGATTAATTTAGACATTTTAATGTCTGTATCTATAGTCAGAGCCAAGTATGTTGTGTACTCTAGCTATGCTTCTTTTGTTCTTCTCCTGTCTCTTTCCCTTTAAACTTTTTTCCAGCCTTCTGCCTTTATTTCCACCTTTCTTTTCTCCAGTGCATTTGATATAAACTCAAAACAATTTCTCAGAAAGTTTTATATAGAATGAAGCAACATCGCTGAGGCTGTAATGCTTATTTTCTCAGTATCATACTGCTGAACAGGACATAAAAAAAAGAATACATCTAAAATAAAATGAAATATAATAATAATAATAATAATAATAATAATAATAATAATAATAATAGACATGAAACAAAATATTTAAAAAAATTCTATGCCTACCATGGTTGCAAAATTGATAGTCCAGAAAACTATCTAAGACAGGAAAACTAATCTTCAGGAATGCAATGCATGGGTACTGCAGTGCAGTAACCATTCTTTTGGAAACTCAAATACAGATCTGACCTGACCCTTTCACTTTTTAAATGTGAAGTTCAGAATTGCCATAAATGCCAGAATGCCAACAGGGATCACAGACAATCTTAACCTTATAAAATATCAAATACCATCTTGAAAAGTTCACTTCCATAAACTGGTGGTACGAAGTTCCATAGCCCAGCCTGAGAAACTCTGTCCTGACTCCTTGTTTGGAACTCCACCTCTGACTCTGTTCTGAGATCAAACTCCCTCTGCAGGAGAAAAAGCACTACAGTGTACAGCCACATGCATGCAGTGACCTTTCAGCAATGGAAGAATTGAGTATTTGGATGAATACTTTGCGCTCTATAACTAGCACTTCAATTATGAATAATAGAGGCCAGCCCATTCATTAGATTCTATTAAAGTGTTAATGAGAAGCAATGGGGGGTGAATGAGAGAGCATTGGGGAGAAGGAGAGGAAGAATTTCACACAGGCCTAGTAAAAGTGCGATTTTCATTTAAATCAGATACCTTTCTATCTGGCAGAAGGAAATACATTTTTCTAAATCGTCTACTTAACTCCTTCGTAACTGTAATAGACAATTATCCACTCAGAACACACTCAGGCAAAATTGACTGTTACTGGATTGACAGTAGATATATGAATGTGTGTACAACTATGATTACAAGTCAATTCTGTTGTGCTGAAAAAAATGTTGCTAATTTCAGGTAATTCTGTTGTTGATCAAACTTCTTAAAACTATTTACACAAATATTGAACAGAACCCTACAACAGATTATTAGGGCCATTGCAGATAAAAGAAAAAAACAATGAACCACAGAGGAAAACATTTTTGTCAAAAAAGGCAGAATTTTAAAATTATTTTTAACACCCTAAAAATAAATAAAGAAAATGCAAATTCTCTAATGTCGAAAAGTTATACATTAGCAAGTAAAACAATGCAATTGTACACAACAAAATGCATAGATCTATGATATTAATTGTGGCAAATTTTTGATACTGTAAAGTTAAAAAAAAAAAATAATACAATGGTAGATATTTGTAACAAAAAAGTGACAGACCGAGGTGATAAAGTTAGAGGTTACACATCTGGAAAAGTAGTAGGATTTGATGCAAATAGACACCAGTAACAGAATGAAGTCTCCCCAGAACAGGCTCAACTTGAACACATTGAACAAGAGTCAGAATACACACCAGAGATGATGAGGGAGAAGTTACTACATGGCTGCATCAAGTAATAACAATATTATTTGTACAGCTTTATATGAAATCAACATCTCATAAGGCTTACATACAGAATTGTAAAAAAATTATGATTAAAAGAAGTTATAATAGAAACATTCTATAAAAAGATTGAAATGCTTTACTAAAAAATACAGATTTTTGTTTTTTTCTGAAAGCTGTGGCATTCAAAGAATGAGCAAGTGGCACTGAAAGCTCTGTCAACCATGTTAAGCTCAGTTGGGATCTCGACACATGAAGAAATTTGAGACGAGTGGAGCAGAGGGAGTGTGTTGTGGTTTGTGGGTTGAGAAGTTCTTTGAGGTAAAGGACATTTGCGTACAAGCATTGATAAGTGAGGAGAGAGATTTTGAAATTAATCCTGATGGAGATGGGAAGCCGGTTCATATTTTTGCAGTCTCATTAAGAAAGCTGCAAAATTTTGGACATATTGAAGACTGAAGACTCTCTGTAGAGATCCCCAGGGGCAGTGATTTACAACGGTCCAGTCTGCACTTGGGAGATGTTGTTCTGGTACACAAAACAACGCTTTGGAAAATAGTATCCAGGTGTGCATCCCCTACATTTTTCACCACAACCATTTTTCACTACAACCAACTTATCAATCCACCGTCTATACCAGCTATCAGGGTCACATGGTGGTCTGGTGGCCATATATTGTGGTTAATGTGAGATTTGGGACACACCCTGGATGTGTAGCCAATCCATTGCACTTCGTATTGTTAATACAATCAAACAAAATTTCAAACAAAAATGAATAAATTTGCTGTAAATCTTCACCATTCAAAGTTAATTTGTAATCTTTGACACAAATTCACACAGATTCTTAAACATATGGCTTCAAAATCCCGGCTACCCAGCAGACATTTGGTATGTGACACTTTCCGTTCTTCTGCTCAGAATGGGAAACTGCATGCATGTGCGTGTGTGTGTGTGTGTGTGTGTGTGTGTGTGTGTGTGTGTGTGTGTGTGTGTGTGTGTGTGTGTGTGTGTGTGTGTGTGTGTGTGTGTGTGTGTGTGTGTGTGCCCGGATGCTTATGGGTCAATGTCAGTCTGTATGGAAGAGATAATGAGGCAGTGTGTGCTTCACCCAGCTAACCCTGACAAGTCCTCTGAAATTGGCTGCAGAAGTGGAAAACTGGGAGAGCATTGTCTGACTATGTGTTGTTTGTTCTTAGCAGTATTTATTTTTTTGCTGTAATTTAACCCAAAGGACTCAAAAATATTTTTCTCAGACCTCAGCAATGACAGCTTCACATTGAAAACAGGAATTACAGCTGCTTCATCTAAGTATGTCTTTGTATGGGATGTCAGAATTTGACAGAGACTGAGGAATTGCTTTCAATTCTATCGCACTTACACACCATGAAAATACTGAAAATAACACTCTACTGTCTAATTATTTCCGGCATACAGCAAAAAAGCTTGAAATGAAAGATGACCGAAAAAAGAAAACTAAATTATTTCACAAAACAGAAAAATATCAACCAAGGAGAGCCAATGATTACAGTGTATTACCTAATCTACATTTTTACTTTAGACTAATTAAATAAATCCAAGGTAACACTATTTGACTTTATACACGAATAAGACATGGCACCATCATAAACATGACATAACACACATGAGTAAACATGAGTCAGTCTTCATGAAAATTTATGACTGCTGTCATAAAGTGTCATTCAGTAAATAATTACACTTTAAACACAAAGTTGGCATTATTCAAAATGTCTTTGTTATGACAACTTGTCATTAACCTTGACAAAAATATCTTCATTATGATAAAGAACAAAGATATTTCTTGGTTAACTTGACATTAACCAAAAAATCATTATCTGACACAATTTTTTTTATAAAAGTATTACTGATTAAACTTTAAAAAATATGTAGCTTTATGTTACTAAAGCTAAAGTTTAATCAGTAATACTTTTATAACAAATTTATGTCAGATAATGATTTCTTGGTCAATGTCAAGTTAACCAAGAAATATCTTCGTTCTTTGTAAGAGAGTTAGGGTAATCTTTAATCTTAGACACCCTAAGAGTGTGTCTCACCTTCTTCTTGGACTTGAACACATTACAGCGGAAAACATTGCTCTGTCCATCTCTGGCAATGTAGCTGAAGATCTTCAAATCTTGTGAATCATGAGAAACGTAGAATATTCTAAAAAAAATAAAAAGTGAAGTAGTTAAGAATGGATGTACATAAAAAACAACAAATCAAGGCAGCATTTTAAAAACCTAAAAACATATTTAGTGGCAAGGAGACATGAGACGAGTCCAATACTTTTTTTAATGTATGACTTGTTTCTCTTTGTCAGAAACAAACATGTTAAGAAGTTATTTAAATTGGTGGAACGGTTATTTGAATAAATCAGAAAGACAATTTTTGTTCAGCAAGGAACAGGAAGTTCAGAAAAACAAATGAAGTGTGAACGTAACAGGTTTGGGTGAAAAAAACGTTCTGCTGGTAGGGAAAAATGACAGAAACCAGTTGTGAAGAGATAAATAACATCCTGCAGAGCATGTAAAAACAACAAGAGAGAAGTTTGAAAAAAAGGGGATGGCAAAAAACAAAACAAATAATAACCTGCAGGAGGGAGAAATGTGTATGTATTGTGATCCACTCATACTAATTCATGACAGACTATGGCTGGAAAAAACATAAAACAGTTAAAAGAGGGAAGAAAATGTTGAAAGAATGCAGTAATAATAATCAAAGAAACTGTGAATATAAGGCTATTTTAATTTTAACTTAAAAACATCCAAAAGACAAAGAAAATCCCAACAGCTTTCTAATGCTTTACGTGACACCAACCACAATTTTATAAGCTTAAAGGTCTTTGTACACAACTGCCTTTTGAAACTCCCAAGCAATGTGAAACTAATTTACATGCTCTCCACCCTTCTGTGAGATGCGTGAGACCAGATGAATATTTTATTTTGTTTTTGAGCACAATGTAATATGATGGTTTTGTGCAAAGCCCAACATTGGCTCCACGACTAATCAAGAAAAAGGAAAAAAAAAAAAAAAAATCTTAGTCGTTTGCCAAAACCATAAAACCATATAAACAGACATCTTCCCACAGGGACGCTCATTAAATGATGCATCCAGAAATGCATTGGCCTCATCTTTAATTATTGTTTCAATCCCTACCCCCAAAACCATGGCTTAACTCTTAATCAACTTGGACATAAGTACATACATGTAATTTTTTTTTCCAAAACCTCAATTCAATAAATTATAAAGGTGATACCAATGTGCAGTATAGAATGTACCAATGTGTAAAATATCATATCTGCTTGGCTTTACTAAGTATTCTAGTGATTCTTGATCCTTCACTAAGAATGTGCTTAATGTGTGCTTTCAGCAATCTTCCATCTATTAATGTCCTAAGAAAACAGTTTTTTTGTATTGATTTCAAACAATTTCATTTTTTTGAATCTTGATGCGTTTTCAGTCTCCCAAATACAAAATTATTTGAGCTTCGCTCAAGAGATTTTTTTCAGTTTACTCTTTTAAATAGTCTTCAAATCCAATTGAAACTAAAAGTCCCATATTAAAAATCTGAAATGTAATGCATATATCACTAAGATATAAAATTTAACTGTGTAGGTCCCAACTGTCCCCTAAAGGATACCACAATCAAGGAGAGCACACATTTAAAGTCTGAAAGCAAGATTTCATGTTTTTTTGTTCTCAAAAATGTTTATAGTTGTGCTTACATTTTCAGGTTGACAAAAAAAAATTGTAAAACTTTTTGTCATTCTTATTGGAGGATTTGCCTAGAGCCTTCAGTAAACCAATCTGTGACTTTATCCAGATTCTTAATAGGCTGCCTATTCCTCACTTACTGACTGCTCTTAATCGCTCTATAAAGCCCCACTAGAAAATTCATATGGATCCTTACAAGCTATTTTTTCTGCCTTGATATGTTAACATATTTTATGTGCAAACTAAGCACATTGATTAAACAACAAAGTCCTTGTTTATATTGCTATTACCGTCTGTGACTTGATTCTGATTAGGTTTTTTTACAGTGAATTTGAATATCAACTTACTATAGAGAGTATGAAATACATGAGGCAGAACAGCTTTGTAATTGGGTAATTAGAGCTATAATAAAAGGCCTGGTATAGAACGGTTAGAATAATTTATCACACTGAGACAATGAAAAACCAGACAGAAGTTAAAAAAATAAAAAATAGAGGGTGTTATGTAAATATATATGCCTGCTCCCGCAAAAATGCACATCTAGCTGTTTGGCCATGTGCATGTTGGTTTTAGTGCATGAGATTGTGTACTTTTAATCAAGATACTCATCTGTTCACCCAGTGACATTTGTGTGGCATTTATTCGGGTGTATTTCCTGGAAGCCAGACTGGCTGGGGCTGCGTCGAATGGATGGTGTTCTTCGTCAACACAGCTTAGCAGATGGTCAAATGCCAGACACGGCTCACTGCTGTGACTCATTCAATCACGCATACAAACACCACTGAGCCAAAGAACTGGTACCTGATTTTTCTTTCGGAGAACTACTGTCTGGAGGCTGTTCCAGGAGGTCAATGTATACACAGAGACATCTATTAATCTTGTGGTCCTCCAGTTTATTTGACCAGAAACGAGTTAGGACAGTGGTCTGTTGTCATTTCTGGGGGTTCTGTCATAACCCTAAACTTTTCTTCAACAATTATTTCTGACCTTTAAAACAACTGTGTGACAGCCCTTTGTTTACACTGTAAATAAATATTCTGTCATTTTGCCCATGTTGAATGATCAGCAAGCAGATTTTTTATTTCAGTACAATATTGATAGACAAACTCAGTTGTTGTTTGTTGATTCCAGAAAAAAAAACAAAAAAAAAAAAACATCAGTGTTCAAAACAATTTTTTTTCTGTCAAATAGAGCTAGACTGAATGTGGGAAACCCCAAACAAAACCGTGAGTGAGTCTGTAATAGCTTATAAACATGAATTACAAGGACCTTACTTGCTTTTTTTTAACCTGCTGGTTTTGCATCCTGTCTTTAATATAAATGTGTGGCTGCAGTGTAACATGAATCTGAATGATCTATTAGTTTGAAAAAATGTAGCGATGATTAAAAGTGTCAATGAAAACTACTTACTGACTCAACAAGCATAATTCCAGCACACACACAGAGATAGTGAGGGAGTTTCCTTCAATCATAAAATATTGCTAAAAAAGTTCTGCCCAGGCTTTTACGAATAATGCAAAGTTATTCTTCTTGTTAGTCAAATGTTGAACATCTCTTAAGTTTCAAAATGTCAATATTCTGCATTTCCAGAATTGCCAGCAATTCTTTCTTAGGAAAGAATGTAGTCGTAGTGCTTTTTATTCATTGATTACATTTATTAGAGTTTCTAAGCACTTGTAAGAACGACTCAATGTCATCCTGTTATCTTGGGATATAGCTATGAAATGATGCAGATGCCCATTTATTTAGCTATTTTGCCACTGGAGAACTTTGTGTTTGTGCCGCCACACACATTGAGCAGGGAGGTTGAAAATGGCCTGTACTTGTATAGCGTCCTAAATCTCTTCACACTTTATTCAGTCATTCACATATTCATGAACACATTCACACACAGATAGCAAGGCACTATATCGCAGCTATAGCTCCCCTGGTCCAAAGTTGCCATCCATGGGCTTGACCTGGTTCACTCACTGGAAATCCACCGATTACAGGACGAATCAGTGAAAAATCTCAAGCTGGTTTCTCTTCCTCGACCTTGTTGGAATACGTAACATAAAAGACCCCTAATGAACAATCCTTACTATCCAATGCTGGAATACTGACCATTACAGCACAGATAGATTTTAACCTTATTATCTGTTTTTGGGGATGTCACTTAAATCCTGCACAGTGAGTCAATACAATAAAAGGAAATTTCCTGTTTTTTCTGAAGCTGGGGACATGTTCTTGTGATCTTCCCAAGACTTGGTTACTGTGGAAAACTCTCAGAAAGATACAAAGCAACATTACTGGCTGTCAGACTGCTGAAGCGCAGCAGAGAGTGAGTAAAAGTGTGCTTAACTGGCTGGCTTAGCTGACAAATCCCTCAGCGGAACACAGATGACGGCAGAGATACATCTTTATCCACCGTCTCTCGGAGGAACAGCTGCCAAACATCCAGGTGAAGACACATCAAACAGATAGCAGCTTTGAATAAGAGAGGTAGTCCTGACATAAATGCTGGTTGAAAGTGAAAATAAATAAAACTACAAATACTGCAAGCAGTAAACTTCTTTTTCTTGAACTTAAAGTGTTAGTCTGCCTTGCTTTCAATAATGCTGTCTTCTCTTAAGGATATGTCACTATCTGCTGTTTCTGACTAAAATCACATAAGAAAATGGTGGATCTACAAATAATAATAATACAAAAATAAAAACAGTTGATTGATGAAAAGTTTCACAATTCAACCTTGAAGAGTATTATGTGAATTAAAGAATATAGGATCAACTTCAACACATTTCTGCTAACTAAATGGGATAAACAAATTAGAATCCATTTTTAATTTTAGATCATTCAGATATTATTAGACCTATTGAGGAATTTTTTTTTTTTTTTAAATATCAGATTTGAATCTTTGGTTCTCAGAAACACTAAAAGCAAATGATTTCACAGGAACCAATTCTTCTTTTTTACTATTTACAGTCAAACAGAATGTCTTACAAAATAGGTAAAAAGGTCAAGACTCTTCATCTGTAGGTGAGGACTTGAGCAATTATTCACAACTCTGATTGGCTTTTCTGAGTCATTTAATTAACATTTCATGAAGCCTGAAAGGCCAAATTATTGACAAAAGGTTTTTAAATGTCAAACTTTTCTTTTCAGCAGCGTTTGACTGTGTAGAATGAAAATAACTATGATCAACAGTAAACATTGTGGAAGAAAATATAAATTAAAAGTCAGGCATAATATAAATATGTTGTCATAATTAATGTTTTTTTTTTTTTGTTTTTGCTTAGTGTATATTAACAGCAAATCTGAAGGATGGTTACAATTAAAATCTTACATGTGTACAGTGACTCCAAAATATGTAGAAATTATTATTTGGAATTTGCACAACAGAAAAGCTGATACTTTGGGCAAAGTTGGAAACAGAGGAATTCAGTTTCTGACAAGAGAAGGGACTTGAATAA